TGCTCATCTTGTGCCCAGCGGGTGGCCTTTAATTAGGTGCTGTCAACTTCCTGTCTGTCCATGTTGTCTTTCCCCCTATTTTTAGCAGAGTATATGAAATCTAAAGATATGACAATGACGGGGATGAAAGGTAGAATTTGCTATAGTCTAAGTGTTTTAAGTAAATTATCACTTAAAAAAAAAAATCACTAAGTAACCCTCCTATTTCCATTCTATGGACAGGGAAAGTCAGGGTTGAAAAGTCAAATCACTTGCCAGGGTAACAAAGCCGGGGCCGTGTCTGGTGAAGCTGGAATACGACCGGCCATGTGACTCCAAAGCATAAGGCCAGCTGGGTCCAGCAGGACAGCCCAGGGCCTCCAGCCCAGCACCCCACCACACACCTGGAGATTGGAGACCTCGGGCTGCATTTGGCATTGCAGGCTGTTGAAAGGGACCCAGGCTCCTTGCAGGTCCCCTCTCTATCCCCTACAGTGAGTTAGCAACTCATCCCCGGGCTGGTCCTCACATCACAGAAGGCTGCCACAGCTCACTCATCACCTCTTCACACAATCATGTCCAAAGAAGAAAGAGAAGGGAGCAAAGACATTTCTCCTTGTTTGCTTTTTTCTTGTCAGAAAGGAAAGTCTTTCCAAGAAGCCCTGGCCGATGGCAAGGCTGTCCCCTGATTCTGACACCCCAGCTCCTTAACCTGACTGGCACGGGCACCAACGTCGGTTGGCAGGATCTCCGTAAGTGGTACGTGGACGTAGTTGTGTGTTTTTAAAATAGTTTTAGTGTTACAACCAGAGATATGGAAAATATGCTCCATGTGTGTAACAGGATTCGTAGTGCACTCTGCTGTCGTATATCAATAAAAAAATAATAGAGAAGGAAAAAAAAATAATCTCAGTGTTAAGAATTTAAATGCATTTGAAAAAACAGAGCTAAATCGGCAATCAGCACCACGTGCTCACGACTTTTGCATCATCTGAAAATCTGATTCAAATAAAGTCTGGGCTCCGGTCAGCCCAGCTTCCCTGGGCGGGGGGCAGGGATCTTGCTGGGCCTTGCCCGACCCACCTCTGTGGCTGGTGTCCTTGACCTGCCCTCCTGGAAGCTGCCACAAATCCTGTTTCTGTAAAATCAAGATGTCAATCATAAACACGCGGACGACTGGGATTTCATGTCCTGGTCAGGAATTTTCAGATTTTCCTAAAACGTAAGATCTTTTCGTTTCATCAACCTCGGCCCCAGCCCTGGACCGCCACGCCCCGAGGCTCTGCTGAGGACAGCAGAAAGTCCAGGGTCAGTCCGCAGCGAGGGCAGCGGTTCCCGGGGGCGGGGGCGCGCTCGCCTGGCACAGGCCAGCCCCAGCTCCATCCCGGCCCCACGACTCTGGGCTCGGTGGACCCCACGGTCCATTGTAGCTACTCAGCCTGTCACTGTCACCAAGAGCCGCCGGGGACAGCCCAGAAACCAGTGGGCAGGAGTGTGTCTCCAGAGGGACACTGTGGCCACTGCGACTCCGACTCCATAGGGTCGCCAGGAGCCATGATGTCGTTCTTCCTTTGATTTTTTTAGCCACTGACACCTGGGAACGCCACGTCCGGCTTGGGGTCAGCCGTTGCCAACTGTCTGGGCACCAACTGCGGCAGCGGTGCCCCGGGAGCGCAGAGGTCCAGGGACACGGGGGATCGTGGGACGGAGTCTGGGGTTGTGCAGGGCACAGCCTGAGCGACTGCGCCGTGGGCAGCACAGCACCAGGACTCACACGGGAGGACTCAGCCGTGGGCGTGGAGGCGGGGGCTGCTGGAGGCCCGGGAGGCCGGGTCCTTGGCTGCTGCTCCCTGTCCTCACGCTGTCCCAAGATTCACTCTTGATCTTGGCTCCGGCCTGGGGGGCAGCCGCCCAGCGCCACCGGGAGTCGAGAGGGACTCACCTGAAAGAGACCCCCTCAGGGACCCGGGCGGGAGGCGGCCCCTGGCCGCAGAGGCCCTCCCAGGCCCGTCCCCGGGAGGCGGCCCCTCTCCAGCTCCGGCGGCCTTCCAGAGGCCTGGGGTTCTCTGACACCCCGCTGGCAGCTCCCGCCCAGGCGAGAGGTCAGAAGTGGCCGTCCCCGCCCAGGCGAGCAGCAGATGGGATTCTTCTATCAGCGACGGTTTCCAAATCAAGACGCTTCGTGTGGACACAGAAGCCTCTGGCCTCCCCGAAGCCCTGGTGCTCTGGCCCCTGGGGCCTGTTCCCACGTGGAAGTTTGAGGCTGGAGCCAAGCGGCTGTTGGTCCTTCCAGGCGACACAAGGGCTACCAGGGTGCCGCAGCCCCTCTGCTCCCTGTTGCCCCCCCTCACTCCTTCCCTGGATCCCCATTTCCTCAAGCAAAAGTGAAGTGGGGTGTGAGGTGTGGTCAAGGAACGTACCAGGAGGGGACAAGGACCTAGTGTCGCTATAACAAAATACCTGAGGCTAGGTGAGTTGTCAAGTAAAGAGGTTTATTGGCTTCGAAGTTCTGGAGACTCAAGAGCATGGCCCTGGCAGCCGCCTGGCCTAGTGAGGGACTGGAAGCGGGTGGCCTCACCATGGCAGAGGAAGTGCCCGGGTGAGACAGGAAGTGAGAGACAGGAGGGGCCCAGCTGGCTCTTTACTGTGACCCATTCTCGTGGGAACTGATTTATTCCCAGAGACCCCACCTACTCGGCCGTGCCAGGGCCGCTCACCAGGGCGGAGCCCCAGGGCCTGAGCACCTTCCACCAGGCTTCCCGCATGTGAGCTTTGGGGACACCCCGGCCACACACACTGGAACCACAGCAGACCTGGAGGGGGGAGGACGGGGGCCTCAGGAGCCATAGGAAGAGCACCCCCAGAGAGAGGAGCCCGAGCCGGGCAGCGCCTGTGTGTCTGAGGGACAGCGAGGAACGGGGACAGCTGGGGAGGAGGGCGTGTAGCCAGAGCGGTGGCTGGCACCCATCTTGCAGGGCCTCGTGGGGTGAGTGGGAGCCACGGAGGGTTCTAGGCAGAGGGGTGACACGGTCACAGAGTCAGACCTGGGTTCGCACAGACTCCTGCTGTGTGTGACCTGGCGGGGGACAGCGTGGCAACAGGACCATCAGGGGCCTACTGCAGTGGCCAGGTGCAGACTGATGGTGGCTGGGCCGGGGCAGTGGTCAGGCAGCCAGGAAGAGGAGGCTGTGCTCGGGACACGTGCTGTGGTCCTTTTAGCATTTAGCAGAAACTGGCCTCATCCGCTGCCCCGCCCCACTGTGCTTGCCCAGCCTGCCCCGGGGCCTTTGCACCTGCTGATTCCGTGCTGGGGTTCTCTGTCCCCAGGAAGCCCCATGGCGTCCCCACTTCCTCAGTGTCCCCAGCTGTGGCACGCCCACCTTCCCGGCCCTCCCCTCGGGCCGCTGGCTCTGATCACCCCTCTCTCTCTCTGCTCCCCAGCAGTAGCCTCCCGAGGGACCCGAAGATGCCTTGTTCACCTCTGTCCCAGGGTGGGGACCGTGTCTGGAGCAGCAGGTCTTCACAGAAATAGAGAGACCTCGGCTCCGCCCCTTGTTACTGCGTGACCTTGGGCATGTGGCCTCCCCTCCCCCAATGTCCTCTCCCAAGTGGGGCCAACTGTGGGACCCTCAGAGGGTCGTCCTGTGGGTCCAGGAAGCTACGGCAAAGGGCCGGCCCCGGGCGGGGCTTGTGTTGCTCCCAACCTTAAGAGAGAGCAGGAGTGGCCCTGCGGGACAGTGGCCAGTGGGACAGTGGCCCCAGCAGACAGTGGCCCCAGGAGCCAAGGAGGGAGAGGCCCAGCTGGGGACAACTTGCTTTCCACGTCCTCAGTAGGAGATGACAAGAGGCCCCGGGAGCCGCGTCCAGGCTGCGGTCCCCCCCCCCCAGCTGCTGCCCCAGACCCTCCCCCGGGGCTGCTGCTCCCTGGGGCTGGAGCTGACAGTGGCCCTGCCCTGGGTCCTCCAGCCCCTGGCCAGCTCATCCGCTGCCCTGCTCCGGGGCTTTCCCTCCGTGGGACCCTGGGTACGGGTGGGCAGGGTGGTGGGTCCCCGAGGCGGGATCCTTCTGCCCTCCGCGGCTTCGAGGACCGTCCACCGCCTGCCAGGACTTCACTGCAGACGGGCATTGGCTGTCGTGGGGACGCGTTCCCTCCTCTCCCCGCTCCTACCCAGGAATGGAACCGCTGGGCCACGCCGTGTCCATCCTTCAGCTCTGGAGGAGCGGCCAGGCTGTCCCCAACGTCCTCCCGCCCGTGAGGGGCCCGCGCTCCACCTCCTTCTGGGCCCTTGTAGTGACTTCTTCATCGCCCTGAGTGGCCAGGCCCCTCTTTCACTCTGTCCCCTCCCCTCGAACCTCATCCACCAGCAGCGCACAGAAGTGCTCCTGGGTGGCCCTCGAGACCAGGAGGTGACACCCGTTCCCTGTGACCCCGGCCGCCGTGTCAGGCCCCAGCCCACAGCGGCCCAGGTGAAGTGACCCCGGCAGAGTGGCCCTCAGGGGCCGTGCAGACGGCCAGCCGAGGGACCGCCAGCCAGCCATCCTCCAGCTGCAGGCAGACAAGAGTGACCCTCCCCAGAGCCAGTCGCCAGGACACCAAGCCCCCAGTGTCCCTGCTGAGAGACCCCAGCCATGGGGGAGCAGGGACAGCCCCAGGACCCGAGAGACAGGAATCAAGGAAACCGAAGGGCTGGGGCCTGCCCTCCCAGCAGGGTGAGCTGAGGCCGGCCATTGGAGAGGCCCACACAGAAGCTCGGGTCTGTCCAGCCCAGGCCACGAGGGCTGCTGGCCCTGGGCACCCAGACATCAGCGCCGCTTTCCGGCCCCTCTCCCTCTGCATCAGGGACCCCTTGTCCTGAGCTGACGTCACGGCCACGTAAGCCACGGCAGCAATGCCCGAGCCCTGCTGACCGTGGCCACCACTCTGACACAAGCCTCTGACTGGGGGCCTGTTCTTTGTAGAAAGTGAGAGGCGACGTAGGGAGAAATGGCACCCACCTCCGTCCCCACCCGGGGACGGCCCCAGAAGCCTGGAGCGGGGCAGCCCGCAGCCTGTCAACACGGGGACACAGGCCGGCCCCCTGCACGCTGGGCAAGCGCTCGGTCACTGAGCCACGACCCTCACTTTTTAACTCCGAGACAGGTTCAGCTGCTAAGTTGCCAGGGCCGGCCTCCAGCTTGCCATCCTCCTGCCTCGGCCTCCCAAGGAGCTGCACCGCAGGCTGCGCCCTCGCCCAGCTTCGGGGTCCCTCCAACTAGGTACAAAGACCCCCCTCGTCCCCTCAGGTGGGATTGCCTCTGGCCCTGGCTTTTCTGGTGACAGCCGGTGGGCTGCTTTCTGCGGCCTCCTTTGCAGGAAGGACGCTCCCGTGGTCCACGCCCTGTTCCGCTCTGCACAGGGCCTGGGGGAAGTCCACCAAGAGCCCAGAGGCCTGCAGACAGGGGAGCCTCCTGAGGTTCAGGACCAGTGAGGGCAGCCGGGGCTAGAACTCAGGTCAGAACTCCTGCGGCCACCCCATCCCGAAAAGCCACAGGTTTGTGGGTTGATGGGTCCATCTGTCTACACGGCGATTGGTTCTGCTTCAGGGTCTGTGAGACACCAGGGAACTTTGAAAGGGCTGTGTGGACGGGCCTCGGCACCGAGACGCCAGAGGGCCTGTGGGGCCACGCAGGGCCCCAGCAATTCCCCCACCCCACCTCCCTCCCCACCTCCCTCCCCACCTCCCCTCCCCCCCCTCCCCCCCCCCCCCCCCTCCCCCTCCCCCCCGCCCCAAGCCTCTCTTTGATTTATTGGCCCTTTGCCTGGAACAAAGTCGCCAGTGCCTTAAGATCAGACTAAGGTCGTTAAAAGTGGTTCAAAAGGTCCAGAGAGATTGTGACGGGGACACCATCTCCCCCACGCTGCTCCCAGCTGGTATTCCAGGTACCCAGGAAAGGAGTCCACAAGTTTCCTGGACACACGCAGCCTCCTGGGGTACGTGCCCCCTTCCTGTGACCCAGGGCACACGCAGCCTCCTGGGGTACCTGCCCCCTTCCTGCGGCCCCGAGGCCCAGGGCACACGCAGCCCCCCCACCGGGCTGTCCTCCCTCACTGCCAGGCTGGCCTAGAGCCGCCGTCACCTGTGCTAAGAGGTCCCTTCTCTAAGGACCCGGGATTCTCTGTGATCTACCAGCGGTTCTCCTGCTGCGGGGCGGTGAGGGTGTCCCTACTGCGCGCCCTGCGCCCCGGCTCTGCACCCCACCCCCACCCCCACCCCCACCGTTGGCTTTTCCTCGTTGGCTTGCTCTGGGCTGAGCTCCCGTGTGTGAGCTGATAAGCTCCGGCCTGGGGAGGGGCGGGGGACACGGGCAGGCAGGGGCGGCACGGGGCCTCCCACCTCTGCCACCCAGCAGGGGACACGAGTGGCCGTGTGACAGGAGGAGGTGGACCTGTGTGGGTGTGGCGGTCCCAGGCAGCTGGAGGAGGAGGAGGAGGAAGGGGAAGCCGCTCCGGGCCCACCCCCACGGCGGCTCTTGACTCAAGGACAGCACGTGGGCTGGGCACAGGCTGGCACTTCGGGCCTCTCCTGACCAAACAAGACCCACGGGCAAGTCCGAGCACGGTCCTGGCCAGCCGGGGAGAGTGGGCACAGCCCACAGACAGCGTGGGCCTGCGGGGACAGAGGGCGGCCGCGTCTCCACGGCCCTGGGGACCACACTGGCCCGTCTTGTCCACACCACCTCACTGAAGGCCTTTACCCAGGGCCACGGCGGGGGACGGTTGGTCTAGGTTGCAGGGGGCAGAAAGGGGGACAGCGCGGCGGGCCCAGGGAGCCGGACACTCAGCGGGACGGGCGGGCTGTGGGGCCAGAGCTGGGGCTGCCGGGGCTTGGTAGAGGACGGCCTTCCCAGCGGTGCCACCTGCCACCTGTGTGGCTCCCAGGGGCTTCCCGGGGTCACAGGGCCATGTCCCTGTCCCCTCCAACCAAGGCCACGTGCCAGCCTGGCCACGCTCCTGCCCACTCCCACCTCGGGGCCTCGATCGCTGCCCCTAAGCCTCGGGCCTCGCCCCCCACCTCCCCTCGTCCTCCGTCTCCCTCTGGAGATGTCACCTTCTTCTCCAGGAAGCTTCCCCGATGTCCCCGGATGGGTCTGGGCATCTTCGGGGCTGTCACCTGCTCCCGTACACGACCCGTCCCACCTCTAGTCACCCTGGACTAGAGCCCTCTGTGTGTGACCCTAAGCAGCCCAGGCCGGGCCGGCCTCCGGGCTAACTCCTCCATCCGCCTCTTATCCCCACGACCTCAGGCCTCGGTTTCCTTGTTTGGGAAGTGGACGCAGCGGCGGCCCCTGTGGTGATGGGCTGGGAGGGAGGAGGACACCTCACAAGTGCTTCACACACGGTGCCACGCGCGGGGCTCGCCGTCCGCCAGCGCTGGCCGTGTCCCCCCCTCCCACTGGCCATAGTAGGTGCTCACTTAGGATTTCCTGAATGAGCAGACGCAGCCCTTCAAGTGTGTCCCAAAGAGCAGCTGAGGCAAGGGGTGCGTGTGACCTCAGGGAAGAGTCTCTGAGAACACAATCCGAGGAGCCGAGCTGCGTGATTTATAACTAGGCGGCCTCCACCCGCTCCCAGCCGGGGGGACAAGAAAACAGAACGTTTCGTGTGGTCACATTAGAAATGGCGGCACAAAAAAAATGGCTTTTCTTCTTGTTTGATGTGTTTTTTCCAATTTCCTCTAATAAGCAGGATTTCAATTTAAGTGGAAAAACATAACAGCAGACCAGACAGAGGCCAGGAGCCCCAGCCCTTTGGTTCTGTGCATGTTTCCCACAAACTGGGGCCCGGGTGGGCGGGGCGGGGCAGGCAGGGGCCGCGCAGCTGGTGGAGGTGAAGCAAGAGCGGAGCCGGCCCAGGGCTCGGCCAGGGGAAGCGGCACTAGTGACCAAGGTCCCAGCTGGTGGGTCCTTCTAGACGTGTCCCCCAGAAACCCTCCCCAGGCCCCAGGCTGAGCCAGCGGCCTGCGTCACACCCCAGGGTCTGCAGAGAAAAAGGTCTGCCATGTGGCCACGTCCACAGGTGTGACCCCACCTGACCGGGCCCCATCCCCTCCCCCGACCTGCTGCTTGCTCGTGGGTTGCCAAGGTAACCGTGTGGCAAGGCCACTAGGTCACTGGACCTAGCCTCATGAGCATGGTGATGCCTTCCGCCGGCAACAGGCTGAGTCACCTCCAGAGGCCCTGGGGCTGCGGTGGCCACGGGGAGAGGGGGCTTTGTGGTGTCGGTCCCCGCTGCCCACTGCCTGGGCCTCTCCCCACGCACCGCGTGCCCTTCTGCTCTGCCGCCTTAGGATGCAGTGGAGACCCTCAGCAGGGCCGGCTCCTGGCTTGGGACCTTGCACCCTTCAGAACTGTGAGCCCAATGAGCCTCTCCTCTTCTGGATCACCCAGGCCCCAGGCAGAATTTAAGGAGCAACACAAAATGGACTTAGTCCCACTTCACAGGGAGGAAAACTGAGGCTGCCAGGATCTCATGACGGCCCGAGGTTGCCCCGCAGAGTTGCCCAGGTGGAGTCTGAATGAGCACCGTTGGGTTTCGCTCTTGCCTCTGTTGGTGGTCTTCTCATTTCTGCTAAACCAGATGGTGAGTTCCCTGAAGAGAGATCGCCACCGTGTTCCCCAGGGCCTGGCCCTAGGTCTGGCACCTGGGAAAACCGGTGATGGGGAAATGAATGCATGGCGGGTGGATGGGGAGAGGGAGGGGGAGAGGGATGCTGTAGAGGATGGAGGGGTGGTGGGTGGAGGGGGATGGTGGGGGGATGGTGGGTGGATGGTGGGTGGATGGATGGTAGATGGTAGATGGAAGGAAAGATGGGTGGGGAGGTGGATGGTGGGTGGATGGATAGATGGATGGTGGGCGGGTGGTGGATGGAAGGGTGGTGGATGGATGGTGGGTAGATGATGGATGGTGGGTGGATGGATGATGGGTTGGTAGTGGATGGTGGGTGGGTGGTAGATGGATAGATGGATGGTGGATGGTGGATGGGTAGTGGATGGATAGTGGGTGGATGGATGGTGGATGATGGATGGATAGATGGATGGTGGGTGGATGGTGG